CGAAAACAATTATGTAGGACGATTAAACCGATTGTTAGAATGTTAAAATTGTTTGCAGCATATAGTCATTAATGTTTAAACGTTTACGTAATTATGCAATAAAATTATTTTCAGATTTGCATCTTGTTAAATTTTTAGGTTACTTCGGTAAAACTGTTCTTTCCATGTATATATTTTAAATTTTCGCGACATCTCTGAAATTCGACAAAATCAGAGACGAACAAGCGATTATTTCTTTCGTGAGAGCCCCTGACTATCACGCGAAATGACACGAATAACATGCCGCGGAGCGTACGACGTTTCGTCGGTAGTTTCATCGTTCCTGACATGGTGATTCGAAGGAAGTGTAAAAAGGAAAACGAGGAGAAGCCGATGAGATGGCCGCGGGGCGAATGGTCGCGAAATGCGTTCACCCGTTTGGAAGACGTGGAGGAAGAGGAGAAAAATGGAGCGGGTGGTAGCGGTGGTGGTGGTGGTGGTGGTGGTGGCGCTAGGCGATCGGAAGTGTGTCAAATTACAGAGGTCCGCGATATTAATGACTCCTAATGACATGCCCCCCTCCTGACAGCAGCGTCCGGTGCCTACCGACCGACACAAGGAAAGAGCACGGTTTCTCCCCACTAAGCCGTTCGCCCGGACCCGCTCGTGAACCACCAAGGTTGGGGCCCCCGTGCTGCTCGCCGCATCGGGCCGGTGGACCCGATTCACAGAATCGACATTAAAAATGCAATTACTAATTGACGGAGGCTAATAGCAATAAGACAAACAACGGGCTAAATGCTATAAAGTAAAACACAGGTCGGCGACGGTGTCCTCCACCCCATCCCGCTCGCTCCCATGGGCTAGGTCCTATCGGATCTCGTTCTTGCCCTCGTACCTCGCTTCTATTTACCGATCGTTTCTTTTTTTTTTTTTTCCTGGTTCGAACTTGTCCGCTCCTTTCGTTGTGATTCCTTCTACGAGGAGTATCGTTCGCGAAGGGGCGCGAGCCCCTCTGTTTACGACCGGTTCGGCATTTCCGAGAGGCCGCCGGTCCAACCGCGGATTTTTTGTCAGCTAGCTCTACACCTTTGTTAGTTTCTGTCCATTCGTCTGTTTTATTTTACCTTGAGAGGTTAGCTTGATGTTCCATCGACGAGATCGAGTTTTAATTCGAACCATGTTCTTTTCCTTTGATGGCAGTCACATATTTTGATTAATTTGTAATTGCATAATTAACACACTATTGAACGTAGACGTATCTGCTCGTGTTCCGTTGGCCGAACGTTGACTATCCGGCGATAAGTTTACTTGTGAGACTTGTTCTTTTTAAAGAGATATGTTTATTAAATCTGACCTGCCGAAACTTAAAAGTTTAACGGTTCCCTTTCTCTGTCGTCTTGTTAACCGAAACAAGAGAGAACAAAAAGAATAGATACTAAAGCTCTCTCTGTCTAGTGCCTTCCTGTTCTAGTGTCTACGTTTTTATTTATTATTTGTCTTGTTCAACAAAACAATGGAGAGGTAAAAGTATTCAGTTCTCTAACGATAAGTTTTGAATAGGTCTGATTTAATCACTGTGCAAGGTCGTTAGAGTTTAAAATTAAAACCGGTATTCATAGTTCGTTCTTATTTCAAGACGTTAACTCTTCATGGTCATCATGGATCTCTCTCTCTCTCTCTCTCTCTCTCTCTCTCTCTCTCTCT